CTCCTCTGTGAATATCCCACCATCCCAGTCTTCCCCAAACTACCTACCACTGAGCAGATGTGGAGCAAGTCTGGCCTTTCATGGTAACTATCAAGCCATGAAGTCAGATGGCAGAGCAGGCAAAGCAGGGACCCAGGTCAGCTAGTGCACAGCTGTGCCTAGGAACCCTGGGCTCTGTGACCCTCCTGGAACCTTTCCTGTCCCCTGTTAGGGGGACAAGCTAATGATTGAGTCAGCAATGGGTGAAATGTCCTATTATAGTGTGCAAAATGCCACCACCAGTAAAACAAGCAAAGGGAAAGCAAAGCCTCGGCAACTTAAGAAATTATTTCTTTCAAATAAATGGATGGTGTTTAAATCTGTAGGGAACAAGTGAATCTGTGGTTCTTCCTGGTTAGTAGTCACCCACACCCAGAAAAGGGTTTAGAATGTGTTTCTGGAAGTGGTATAAAGGAAGGCTTTCTTTAGAGCCACCTTTGAGACCTGGGAGAGGGGAGGAGAGGTAGCAATTGGCGACCGAGGCCAGAGGATGGAGCTCCCAGAGCTGGCATGGGTGGGGGGCATGACGCAGCAGGGGCCGGGTGGCACTGCCATCTGGCTTCAGTTGCATGGGCTTTGGAAAGTAAGCTGGTGTTCTGAAGGCAAGGCAAGAGGCATCCCAGTGCCAGGGAACAGAGTAAATGAGAACTTGTCTCTAAGCCACGGATCCTGGAATTTCCCATAATTAACTTTCCAGCTGAACATTCAAAAGTCCCAGGCCTATAAATTAAAACAGAATAAAGTATTTAGGGTCTAGTTATGAGGGTAATGGTCTGGGAAACCAGGGAATTTGTTACTTGTGAAATGTGACTCAGTTTTTGCATCTGTAAAGTGGCAAGAGATTCAGAATTTCAAAAATGTTAGTCCTGACAGGGATCTTAGAGATCATCTATTTCTTTATTTTAGAGACAAGGATCCCGAAGCCAGAGAGACAAAGCTCATTACCCTAATAATATTGGTATTAATAATAGTATTGACTGTGCTGAGCACCTTAAATATATAAATTCATTCAATCCTCACAAGCTTTTTCTGAATAGTTATTAGTATTATCCCCACTTTACAGATGAGACGACCGAGACTTAATGAGGTTCAGCACCTTGTCCAAGGTCACACAGTTCATAACCGGCACAACTGGGACTTGAGACCAAGTCTGGTGGATTCTGGATTCTGAAGTCTTACAGAAGTAACTCATAGCAGCTCACATAAAAACTTTTTTATATATCACGGGTCTGGAGAGAACCATGAAGGTGAGGTGTAAGAGAGATGATGGTGCTTCTTTAAACAATCCATGCTGCACTGTCTGGCAGTAATAATAACTGAGAGAGAGAGAGAGAAGGAGAGGGAGAGAGAGAGAGAGAGAGAGAGAGAGAGAGAGAGAGTTGACTCTGTGTCACATACTATATGAAGTTCTCTACCTGGATTACATCAATCATTTAATCCTTACTTCAACCTGTTAAAGAAAAAAATTATTCTGACATTGTTAAGGATGGTGAGGCAGACTTCAGACTCTTTTCAGGGGGACCATGGCCGTAGGCGTAGGGCCCACTGCGGCGGGGAGAGAGCTTGGACTCGGCTCTGACTCTGACAAGGACAAATGGAGATTTACAACCAAGGAACAGGGTGGAGGTCAGTTACTAAGAGGGCACATCATGGATAAGGGGGTTTCTGGCTAAATCAACTTGATAGGATTACTGCTGAAGGCAGGCCAGGGTGACCAGACATCAAGGAGGGGCGTATTTAGCAGGATTCTTGCTCAAAATGGATTCTACAAAGACAGTAAGGAAAGCTCAAGGCCGGGCCCAGCCAAACCGAGGACTCAGTGGGGGCTGATTAAAGTTTAAGTCCAAGGGAAGAGTCTTGTCAAACTGTGAGGTAAGTGAAATTATTCCCATTTTATAGATTAGTAAACTGATGCATAAAATGAGTCAAGGTCATACAGTAAGTTAATGATGGAGTCAGGATTTGAACCTGCCTCTGATAACTGACGTGCTGATTGTGGACATGTCCTTCCACAGCCACCATATAATGACAGTTTACATTTAATATGATGATTTTGATCATTAAAGGCAGATTAAAATATAACCACCGTGGCTTTGTTGGGAGATTTATTTTACTGTGTTGAAGTGTTTTGGAGATGAGTAAATGATCTCGTCTCCAGATAACATTTTCAGATTAACATCTCAATTCTTGACCATTCACCCACTGGGAGCTATTTGCTTAGATTGAAGGGGTTGACCTGGCTGCAGCTCACCCGTGTCCTGTCCTTTCCTCTCCAGTATTGGAAGGGAACCTGCTCTGCCATTAGGCTCTGCTTTCTCCCTTTGCTTGGTTATATGGGAAGTCATATTGCAGATGGGACAAGCATTGGGTTTTGTGAAATAGTGGCATTCGTTGGTATTGAAAGGTATAGAATGAAATTACTTAAAGTAGAAGCTCTTTTCCAAATGATTTCATGTCTAAGATCTAAATTATTCATTTGAGCAATTAATCAGTTTGGATTTTAAAAGTTACTGTTGGGTGGTTTTTTTCCTTCTTCCTTTGCCTCTAATGGATAATTTGAGGAAATTGACTTTTATATTAAAAAGATGAAACATGAGCTTGCAAAGTTGCCATCTGATCCTATTGCCTGGTGGGCCACCTAGGAAAAGGATTCTCTGATGGGTAGTGGATCCCAAGATGCTTGAGGGCAGGAGCTACCCACAGACAATTCTCTTTGTCTATTATTTAACGCAAAGCCTTGCACAACTGGACACTACACACTTGCCTATTAAATGACATATAGGAGCTTGCTCAAAAAACCAAAGCCCCAGCTGGGGAGTTACCCCTGTTCTTAGCTAACCATCCTTCCTTTCTTGGCTTTCCTTGTCTTGCTGCTTGTCTGAATCTGGCTAGATGGTCACTCCTGCAGGACACAAGGCGTGGGTCTGTGAAATTGATGGAACGATCTATGGCTGGCTTCTGTGTTCCACGTGCATTTTAGTGGAGCCTGTCTGAAGACAGTGCTCTGCTTTTGTAATGAGGCCTACTGAGGCACGCCAGGCTGCTTAGCTTTTCCTTTTGCGTGGTAATGCCCTGTCTCTGAGCATGAAATCGGCCCACGTATCTATCTGGTCACTGCCATGGTCCTCAAGCCCACCAACACCCAGCAGTCTTTTGCTTATCTCCTCATGTAATCTTTCTACTTGTGTTCATTGCTCTAAGAAAATCACTCTGCATTACCAACCTACGAGCCCTTGCCTTTTCTTCACTTTATTTTTGCTTTTACTGAGAGGAGATCTTGTGTTAAAGTTATCGTTGCTATAACTGATTGAATGTCCTCTGTGTGTCTGGATCTTATTAATAGTTATTTGTAACAATTGTCATCACTGTATACTTACCATGTGTCAAGCACTGTGCTGAGTGCTTTATAAATATCCATTCATTCAATCCTTATAACAAGCTTATGAGGTGAGTATTATTATAAAACCCATTTTACAAATGTGGAGACTGAAGATCAGTGAAGGTAATTAACTTGCCCAAGGCTACCCAGCTAATAAGTGACAGAGTCTTGAATCAGGCAGTCCAATTCCCAATCCCATACTCTTTTTTGTTTTTTGTTTTTTTTTTGAGACAGAGTCTCACTGTGTTGCCCGGGCTAGAGTGCCATGGCGTCAGCCTAGCTCACAGCAACCTCAAACTCCTGGGCTCAAGCCATCCTTCTGCCTCAGCCTCCCCAGTAGCTGGGACTACAGGCATGCGCCACCATGCCCGGCTAATTTTTTATATATATTTTTAGTTTTCTGATTAATTTCTTTCTAATTTTAGTAGAGACGGGGTCTCGCTCTTGCTCAGGCTGGTTTCGAAGTCCTGAGCTCAAACAATCCACCCGCCTCAGCCTCCCAGAGTGCTAGGATTATAGGCGTGAGCCACCACGCCCAGACCCAACCCCATACTCTTAATCACTACAATATATTGTCTCCCTTTTAAACTTGTGGTCTTTCATATATTCTTCACAACCATCCTGCAAGGTCAGTGTATTAATGTACATAGTCAAGAAGATCCATATTTTGATCTCAGTTCTGTCTGCCTCCAAAGCCCATGCTCTTTCCACTCTCCAGATTTCCTTTGAGGAAGGTAGACTCTGAGTTGCTACCATCACCTGCTCAATTGTTTCTTTCTCAGACACAGGGAGATAGGCAGAGTTACCTACACCACATATAATGCCCAAGCAAATGCATTGGTTTACTCCAATGGCTTACCAATGTCTTCAACTTCAACTTTCTTCAGATCTTATATGGTAATCCAATATGCACAAGAGATCCAGGCAGAGCTACTGTGGTTGAATTCAGGGTAGGGAACCTGTGCCCCTCTTGTGTCCCCTGCTCTACCCCCCACAAGCCATGGTTGCAGCGCCTTCACCAAACCCTGAAGGATGCTGGAAAGCACAGCTGGAATACCTCTTAATCTCATCCTAAGTCAGGGACACATGGTGACCATCCTTGAGCAGAGAGTTATTTATCCTATTTCTGCAATTATCAAGTATAACATTATTCCAAGACATCAATTTTTTTTTTTAAAAAAAAAACAAAGTATTGTCCTTATTCCAGCCAAAGATACATTTTCTAAGCCCATGTTCTTATAGTTGCCATTAAATGAAACACTGGTCAGATCAAATCAATAAACATCCCTCTAGTGCCTACCAGCCCTGGGGAAATAAAATTCAATATGACATGGTAACTTCTATTCTAAGCTATGCTATTAATATTGTTATTTTTCTCAGTTTTCTGAATGACTTAAGTCCAGACAGTTAGGGCCACTCTGAGACTATAGTACAACAACCGTGTTGTCCTGGATTTCTCCTCTCACAGGAACTCCAACATTCAAGCCATAGACACATCAAGAAGATGGGTCATGTGATGAGTTCAGCTACACAGCTAGAGCCAGCCATGGCTCACTTTCTTTCTACACACAGCCCAGAGGGCATGCCAGCTGTGGACTTCAGCTGCTGGTTTCCCTTGCATGAAATCAAAATAGATCACAGGTAAGATGTGGAGTACCATGAAGCCAAACAAGAAGTTTTCTGGCTATATCTAGTCTCTTTACCATTTTATTATCAGACTAATTTTCTGAATTTTGACCTTCCTATTTAATGGAGGGAAAATCTGACTCCTCTGGAATAAGGGTGGCGGGAATGATGACATGTATATATTTCTTTTAGGTTATGAATATATGCGGTTGTGGCAAAGAATACTATGTGTCCACCAAATCCATTCCTTTGTCTTTTAGGCATAGACCTAGATGACATTTCTAAGCCTTCTTTGCAGTTAGGTGGCATCATGTCACTGAGTTCTGGCTGACAGGTGTTGGCACAAGTGATATGTACCATTTCCAGGTCTGGCCTATCAAGTCACCCTAAACGACCCATCATGGTCTCTGCTCCTGTCTTTGCTGGCTGAACGGAGGGGACTCTGAGGATTTTGATGAGGGAGGAGTCAGAGGATGGAAGAAATGTGGATCTCTGAATGACTATACAGAGCAAAGCCTCTTCCACCAAAGTGCACTGGACTGTGAAATGAGTGAGAATCAAAATTTCTTGTGCTAAGCCACTGGGGTTTGAGGCATGCTTGTTACAGGAGTTAGCCTAATAATAATTCTGACTAATACAGAGGCACAGGGAATAAGAGCGTAAGTATTAGAATCAGACAATTCTGGGTTCTCTACAAACTTTTCCACTTACCAGCTGGGTGACCTTGCACAAATTACTTAACCTTTCACAGTTTCAACTTCATTTGTAAAATGGGAATATAATAACACTTACCTCACAGGATTGTGGGAACGCTCTATGAAAACATATGTGTATATTGTCTGTTACATAGCAGGTGTAGCAAGATTACAAATTTACTCACACAATCCAATTGTGCAAAGAAAATGTACTTCCTTTATTTCTCTATAACTGATTGAATTTTCTTCAAGAGCCTCCAGCCCTGGGGTAGCAGGGAAACAAACGTGAACTTTAAATGAGCCAATTAACAATATGTCAGTCTCCTTTTGGTTTAAAATAGTCCCTTTCAGGTAACTGCTCAGGCTTTCAGAGTCCTCCCCCTCAAGACAGGAGATGGGTGAGTTTACTCTGTCCCCACAGTGATGGGGAAGGGCCACAGAGGTCTTTGTGCAGGCCTATAGCTGCTCTCTGAGTCCTTGCTGGCCTTGTTGGATTCGGTCCTTCCCCTGTGTTGTTAGAGCCTTCCCTGCTGGCATCTGCTGCTGGAAACTTAAGACCTTTTCTCTCTCAGCTTGGTGAGAGCCTGGTGGCCTTTCCTTTGACCTAGCTGGTGCTGTGCAGCCTTCTGAGGCCTGGCTGCGGCTACCACTTGCTTCCTGATCTTGGCTGCTCTTGGCCATAGGGTCATTTTGCTCCACCATGATGACTCCTGACTTGCTGACTGTCCACCAAGACAGTTATTTTCTAGTATCTTCTATAGAGCATTCAGAATTTCTGAATCCTTTCCACACAAGGAGGGAGATGCCAGCAAACCAACTCAGGCCCTCTCTCAGGCTAAGCATGGCTTTGCTCTGGTATGGCCACCACATGTGGGGCATGAGGGTGGGGAGTACTCTGCAAGGCAGTCTGTCCTCAGGGACTCAGACAAGGACAGGGCCCTCTTTGCTTGTGGTTTTGTGGCAGACAGACTCTAAGGCAAGCCCTCATGATCCCCCACATCCTGGTGCTCATACCCTTGTATAGTCCCTTGAGTGTGGGTGGGGCCTGCGATTGCTTCTAACCAATAAGATATGACAAATGGATACAGTGTCACTCCTGTGGCTGTGTTATATTACAAAAGAATTCATCCTGCTAGCAGACACTCTAGAGACTTTCCTTGTTGACTTGATGAAGTGGCCACATGGGGAAAGACCACATGGCAAGGAACAGAAGGTGATCTCTAGGAACTGCAGGTGACCTCTAGGAACTAGGGGCAACCTCTAGGTTCCAAGGGCAGCCAGAGCCATCAACCAGTAGGCAGCCAGGACTCTCAGTTTTACAATCACAAGGAAATGAAAACTGCCAACTACCTGAGTGAGCTCGGAAGTGGATTCTTCTCCAGTCAAGCCTCCAGATGAGAATGCAGCCCAGCTGCCATCTTGATCACAGTCTTGTGAGGCCCTAAACAGATATTCCTGATCCACAGAAACTGTGAGATAATGAATGTCTGTTGATTTAAACTGCTAAATTTGTGGTAACTTGTTATGTAGCAATGAACTTTGGCTGAGGGAAAGAGAGTTTGAGATAAGCATGTCCATTACTTCCCCTCCCCCATCCCCTTATCCTTCCCACAATCCTATGGGGGCTAGAAGAGCACACTTTCATCTTTCTCTTCCCATCTGGTGGGAGGACCCTCCTGCTGTTCCCACTCACACTGTAGCTTACTCTGGGTGCCTGAAGTGGCATTTACTCTCTCTCTGTTTCCTCTGGGCTCAAGATGTGGAGTGGAGGCCGGGTGCGGTGGCTCACGCCTGTAATCCTAGCACTCTGGGAGGCCGAGGCGGGCGGATCCTTTGAGCTCAGGAGTTCGAGACCAGCCTGAGCAAGAGCGAGACCCCGTCTCTACTAAAAAAATAGAAAGAAATTAT